TTGTGGCCCTGGTCTGTAGTGGTAGCCAGGCGCCATCTAGTTCTTCCGGTCTCAGGATAGATGAAGCCATGGCTCGTGTAGGCTATGAGCCCTGTGTACTAGTTTCTTTTCTGAGACTTTGATTTCCTTCTTACTCTTTTGCTCCTGATGAGTAGAGACCAATAGTTATATCTTAGATGGCTGCTCACAAGCTTTTAAGACCCCAGATGCTGCTCAGCTCATTAGGATGCAGAACATGAACTTTGTGAGCTGTATTATGCCAGTTGACTGAGTTGTCCCATGAGACTAAAGGCCTAAGCGTGAAGATTAACGTTTGATGTTAAATACCTTTAATAGCTGTAGGACTATTCAGATTTTCTATTTCTTCTGGAACCTATTGTGATAAGTTGTATATTCTAGGAATTTATCCATTTCATCTCTTTTCAAAGTTATTAGTGTAAAGTTATCCTTAATTGCTTTCATAGCTCATCTGTAATAATGTCCCCCTTTTTATTCATGTTGCTTATTTGTGCCATCTCTTTCTTGTTTTCATTAATCCTGTGAGATGTTTGTCAGTATTGTTAGTCTTCAGAAAGAAATGGCTTTTGACTTCGTTGATCCTTTGTATAGTATTTTTGTTTTCTATATCATTAATCTTTCCTATTCATTAACATTCCTTCTAATTTAAAAAAATTTCTTTTTAGACCTTATTTTGTAACTTCTTAAGTTAGATGCTTAGTTTATTCATTTGGATTTTTTTTTTAATGAAAGTACCTAAGGCTGTACATTTCCCCATAAGCGAATCTGTAATTGCATTAAACAAATTTGATATGTAGTGGTATTTTTAAATTGAGATGTAATTCACATACCGTGAAATTCATGCTCTTCAGGTGTACAGTTCCCTGGTTTTTAGTATATCTTCACAAGGTTGTGCAGCTGTCACCACTGTCTAACTCCAGAACAATTCCATCACCCCAAAAAGAAACCTTGTACCCATTAGCGGTCACTCCTCATTGCCTACTGACCCAGTCCCCGGTAACCACTAATCTGCTTTCTGTCTCTATGGATTTGCCTGTTCTGGACATTTTGTATAAATGGAATCATACAATACGTGGCTGTTTGTGACTGACTTCTTTCACTTAGTAAAATGTTTTCAAGGTTCATCCATGTTGTAGCATATATCAGTACTTCATTTTATGGCTGAAGAGTATCCCATTGTATCTGTTCATCTGTTGATGGACATTTGAGATGTTTCCACTTTTTGACTATTATGAATAATGCTGCTATGAACATTCATGTACAAGTTTTTGTGTAAACATATGTGTCTTAGTCATCTAGTGCTGCTATAACAGAAGTACTACAAGTAAATGGCTTTAACAAAGAGAAATTTATTTCTTCACAGTAAAGTAGGCTAAAAGTCCAAATTCAGGGGATCAGCTCCAGCGGAAGGCTTTCTCTCTCTGTTGGCCTTGTCATCAATGTTCCCTCGGGCTAGGAGCTTCTCCATGCAGGGACCCTGGGTCCAAGGGATGTGCTCTGCTCCCAGCACTGCTTTCTTGGTGGTATAAGGTCCCCTCTCTGCCTCTTCCCTTTCCTGTTTATCTCTTGAGAGGTAAAAGGTGGTGCAGGTCACACCCCAGGGAAACTCCCTTTACATTGGATCAGGGATATGACCTGGGTAAGGGCATTACAATCCCACCCTAATCCTCTTTAACGTAAAATACAATCACAAAATGGAAGACAACCACACAATATACTGGGAATCATGGCCTAACCAAGTTGACACGTATTTTGGGAGGACACAATTTAATCCGTGACAATATGTTTTCAGTTCTCTTGGGTATGTAACTAGGAGTAGAATTGCTGGGTCACATGGTAACTCTGTTTAACTTTTTGAGACTGTTTTCCAAGCAGCTGTACCATTTTACATTTCCACCAGCAATGTATGAGGGTTCCAATTTTCTCTTTTTTTCTTGTTCAGTTCAGCTAAAGGTTTGTCGAATTTTGTTTTTAATCTTTACAAAGAACCAACTTTTGGTTTTATTGATTTTTTTCCTACTCTCCGTTAGCAACTCTATTTAATTTATTGGTGTTCTAATCTTTATTACTTCCTTCCTTCTGCTTGTTTTGGGTTTGCTGTTTTTCTGGTTTCTTAAGGTGGAAGGTTAGGTTACTGATTTGAGATCTTTTTTAGTATAGGTCCATAATGTTTTAATTCCCATTCCATGTGGCTTCTCATTGCCATTATCATTTCTGTTTTTGATAAACTAGTTGTTAGGGGAGGAGCCGTGGTGGCACAGTGGTTAAGTGCTCTGCTGCAAACTGAAAGGTCAGTGGTTCGAACCCACTAGCCACTCTGCGGGAGAAAGATGTGGCAGTCTGCTTCGGTAAAGATTTACAGCCTCGGAAACTCTACGGGGACAGCTTTACTCTGTCCTATAGGGTTGCTGAATCAGAATCTACTTAACGGCAACGGGTTAGTTGATTAGGGAAGTGTGTTTGTAAATTTCTAAACATGGTTTTTTACTAGTTGTTTATTATTACTACCAATTTCTAACTTAATTTCATTGTTCACGGTGGTCAGAAAATGTCACTTCTATGAGATCATAGCTGGGAAATGAGTAGAAGCTGTTCTGTGGCCCAGCATGTGGTGAGTTTTCATGAACTCAGTGTTCCTGTCAAGGCTGGCTGACGCGTATGGTGTGTACGATATGCCAAGCACTCCTAAATATTTTAAACATGGTAACTTGCTTAACTCTCATACCGACCCTCCAAGGTTGGTACTGTTGTCGTGCCTATTTTACAGATAAGGAAACTAAGGCACAGAGAGATTAAGTGATTTGCCCAAAGTCACCAAACTATTAAGGACAGAGCTGGGATTTGAACCCAGGCAGTGTGGCCCTACAGTCTGTACTCTTGACCAGCACACAATCCTTTAATTATCGGAGGGGAATGTTCTATAACTGTTCGTTATATCACAATTGCTAACTATTTTGCCCGCTTAATCTATCAGCTAGTGGGTGGGGGATGATACAATCTCACACCGTCATGGTGGCTTTGCCAGTTTCTCCCTGTATTTCTCCCTGTATTTCTACCAGTTCTTTTTCTTTCTCTGTTTTGAGCTATGATATTAGGTGTCTCAAGTTTGGAAGTGTTATATCTTCCTAGTGAACTCAACCTTTTTTTTTTTCATTTCAGTGACCGTCCTCATCTCTAATAATACTTTTTACTTTCAAGTCTATTATGTTGGCCAGTGTTGACATAGCCGTTCCTCTTTCTGGATTAGTGTTTTCGTGGTATGTCTTTTTCTAATCTTCCGTGGCCAATCTTTCTGCAGCCAGATGTTGTAGTCGTTATCCCTTGTAGCCAGCATATAGCTGGGTTTTTAAAACTTCAGTCTGAAAAATTTTGTGTTTTAATGGAGAGTTTAGTCCATTTGCACTCATAGTGATTACGGACTCCTGGCAACCCTAAAGGACAGAGTAGAACTGTCCCATGGGGTTTCCTAGGCTATAATCTTTACGGAAGCAGACTGCCACATCTTTCTTCCGTGGAGCGGCTAGTGGGTTCAAACCACTGACCTTTCAGTTAGCAGCTGAGCACTTAACCACTGTGCCACCAGGGCTTCTTATGGCTGAATAAAACCACAATTTGTTTATCCATTCATTCGTGGGAGTTCTGAGTTCTGGGATGAAGTTAATTTTCTCCAGGGAGAATCTGCATGTGTTTCTGCCAGTCACCTGGGGATGCTACCAACCCAGGACTCTTAATAAATTATCTGCTTAAGGTTTCCTTGACTTCACAGGCATCATGAATTAAGACTGCAAACCCACGTGGTTATACATTCTCAGGGAGAGCGGGTTGTTCCCTTTCCTCCCGTGGAATTTGTCTCTTTCACAGGTACGCTGCTGGTGTTCCCTGTGGGAGTCCCAGCTTTATTGCCAGAATCTTCTATTGGGTTCTCCACCTTGGGCTGGCCACCCTGCCCAGTCTCAGGGTCTCCAGGGGCTGACAGAAGTCCTTGGCATTATTTCCTTGCTGGGCTTCAAGTTTCCATTTTGCTTTGTTGGGTGAGGATGCGGGGCTTAGTAATGCAGTTAATGTGCTTTGCATACTTTATCCGGCATTTGGTTGTTTTGGTCCAGAAGGTTGTTCAGGCAGCTAAAGAAATCAGTAAACCGCCAGAAATGGAAGTCCCCCATCAGCTCTCGCCGCTCTGCTTTCTCTCTTGCCCTCTTCTAAGCCATTCTCCAGGAGCCCTGGTGGTGCAGTGATTAAGTGCTCAGCTGCCAACCGTAAGGTCGGTAGTTCAAACCCACCAACTGCTCTGTTGGAGAAAAGACCTGGTGATCTGCTCCCATGAAGATTACAACCTCGGAAACCCCATGGGGCAGTTGTACTCTGTCCTATAGTGTCGCTGTGAGTCGGAATCGACTCAAGGCACACAATACCACCAAGTCATTCTCCACATAGCAGCCAGTCACCTTTTAAGATGTGAATCCAGTTACCTCCCTCCCAGGTATGAGCCTGTTGGCAGTCCTTTTGCTCTTGGACTCAGTCCACACCCCTCTCCCCCACAACTGCAAGCCCTTGCCCACCTCTCACTTTCCTTGGGCTCCCCTTACACGCTGTACTTTGGGCCTCATTGGATACTCACTCCTCCCAGGATGTGCACTTTCCACCCCTGCTGTGGGTTCCTTTTACCTGGCTGGCTTCTCTTGTTTTCCCAGGGCTGCCCCTTCAGCTCTCAGCTAAATGTCCCCTCCCCAGAGAAGCCCTCCCTGACCAGCTCTAGCTTGCTCATTCTTTATGGTCATTCTGCTCATGAAGTTAATTGACTTGCTCGGACTTCCTCTCCGTTCTGAAATGCAAGCCCATCAGAGCAGGTCTGAGTCTGTCCCCGCTGCTCCTGGCACCCAGTGGGCACGCCATAATATTTATTGACTGAGTGGACCCACGGGAGTGGGAGGGTTGGGACTGCTCTGCCCCATTTATGATCCCTACCTCTCTACTTCCTGCAGCTACCTTCTGGATAAACCCCCAGTTCAAGATCCGATTGGAGGAGGTGGATGATGCAGAAGATTACGGGGATCGTGAATCAGGCTGCAGCTTTGTGCTCGCTCTCATGCAGAAACACCGCCGCAGAGAGCGCCGCTTGGGCCGCGACATGGAGACAATTGGCTTCGCGGTATATGAGGTGAGCCCCAGGAACCCCACAGAACTCCTGAGAAAACCCAGCCTCCTGGCTTCCTGCCCCACTGCAGCCAAGCTTCCACCAGGGGGCGCCAAAGGACATTGCTGCTGCCACTGCCCCTCTGGGGTATACTGGGCTGTATCACACCTGCCGGGCAGGTGGCCCTGGATGGCACCTGCTCAGACCCCCTGCCAGGCCTGGGCAGGCAAGGGGATAAAATTCACCTCATGAGGCAGGTGGACAGAGGGGAAGGTGTTTGGCTTAGAGAAGGAAGATTCTGAGATTCCCCCCATCCAAGGAGGCTGGAAGGCTGCCTTTCAGAAGAGGGAACTAGCTGAGCCAGCCCTGGGGACAGCTTCTGGGTGCCCAGCTTTGGCTCAGGTTCAGAAAGAAGGGGGCAGGGGGGCGCCCTGGAGGAGTGGTGAGTTCCCTGTCTTGGAAGCATGTTAGCAAAGACCAGCTGTGGATATGTATGAGAGGGAGGGCCTTCTGCCCCGGGAGAGGTTGGACTGGTAGTTCTGTGACGATGACTTGTCCCTGATACAGCTGCTTCACCCGCTGTCTGTTCAAGACAGGGGCAGAAACTTCCGGAGCTCCCTGGCCAGGGCAACGGAAGGCCACAGCCTTGGCCCATACCCCAAGCCCCTGGCAGCAGACTGGTGTGGATCTTTGGTGATGCAGGGCCTTAAGACATTGCAGTTGGGCTCCTCAGGGGCTGCTCTTGGGATTCTAATTAAGAGGTCAGGCTCGGGGCATTCCAGAAATGAAGTGGATGCTCAGGCCTGTCTGGGCCCTCTTGCCTAGGGTCCTGGGCTCCCCCTCTGGCCTGAGGACAGGTCTGGGTCAGCACTGACACCAGCCCAGGACTCCGCCTCCTGGTCCTCCTCATCCACAGTTGTTCTCAGAACTCAGGGCCCCTGCTCAGCGTTTCAGCCTTTCGGCCTGTACCCTCTTTCCCTGGGACCAGCAAAAAAAACAAAAAAAAACCACCAAACCAGTTACCACTGACTCTGACTCATGGTGACTTCACGTGTGCCAGAGTAGAGCTGTGCTCCATAGGGTTTTCAGTGGCTGATTTCTTTTAAAGTAGATTGCCAGGTCTTTCTTCTGATGTGCCACTGGGTGGACTTGAACCTCCACCCTTTTGGTTAGAAGCAGAGCACCTTAACCGTTTGCACCACCCAGGGACTCCAGGACCAGCAAACATCTAATCTCCCCATCTCTCTTGCAGGTCCCTCCGCAGGTAGGTGTGGTACCTGACTCACCTGGATTTACACGCCCCCGAGCACACACAGCCTGATGGGACCACACTGTCTCGGCCCAGAGGAAAGCAGGAGGGTGGCAAACCCACACGTAGGGCCGCCCCGTGGTGGGCGTGTAGGAGTGAAGACGTCACCTGTATTTTACTGCTCGCAAAGTGCTTCCCCTCCTGACCATTCAGTGGGCAGAGCAGACATTGCTCTCCTGCGGGCCAGAGCAGGTAATACATGAGGGAGCTGGATCTGAACACTGGTCCTCAGAGCCCCACCCCGACAGTAAGTGCTGACTCAGAGGCAGTCAGAGGTAGCGGTTAGGAGAGGGCGTTGAACCGGTGAGTGTCCTGCAACCTTGAGCAAGTTGCTTCAGCGCTCTGAGCCTTCTGTTCGTGTCTATAAAACGAGGTAACAGCACCACCTCACAGATTGTCGTGAGCGATAAGTGAGGTGGTGGTGCTTGTTAACTGCCATCAAGTCAGCTCTGACTCAGGGTGACCTCATGTATTACTTGGTCCTGCGCCATCTTCATCATCGCTGGTATTTTTTTTTATTTTATTGTACTTCAGGTGAAGGCTTACAGAACAAATAGTTTCTCATGAAACTGTAGTACACATGTTGTTTTATGACATTGGTTA